AAGCTTCTTTAGTTTTTGTGTTTAACATGATATAATTTTTCAAAGTGGGTAGCCTTAATCTTCTTGAAGCCAAATTAATAACCTCCTGGAAGATTAAAAATGCATAACTATTAACATTTAGTAAGGTTGCTAAGGCTTTTTTATCCTTGTTAACAAAGAAATGCATCTGTGGAAGTCAGAGAAATAGTAGATTCCCTGGAGGAAAACATTTCTAACAATTAGATATCTTTTGTGAGAAACCCAGAAAAGGTATGACTGATTGCTTTCTTGGATTAAACTGAAGGTACAAATGAAAAACACATTAGGTACAGATGTTCAGTATATTGGGATTAATTTTATTCTTGTGGGTACCATTTTCTTAGATGCTTGGACTAATAGCAATTTGTTTCCAGGGTAGTGAAGACGTGTCAAAATAACTAAGCCAATCAGCACGGTTTAGTAAGTTTTTCCTATATATGTATTTTGAAACTGGATAAATGTTTCTAATAAACAAAATGTCTAGCATTTGTATTAATAATGACTTTCTATATAAGTAACCCAAAGTGTATTCATTCATTCAACCAAGACATGTCAGACACCGTGTTAGATTCTAGGGGATTCAAAAATAAATAAAACAAGGCTCTTGCCTGGAGATCCAGTTTAGTGGGAAAGAGACAAGTAAGCAATAATTACAATACAAGTAATGGGCTTCTAATGGAGACATGAACAAAATGCTATGGGAACAAGAGTTTTTCCTACAAATAAACCTAATGAAAAATAACATAATTAGTTCACTATCACAAAAAAGCAAAAACATAATAAATAACATATGGGAATGGCTGACCTTCAGGTCAGTAGTAATAAATGACTATTTACATGGCATGGCTGTTGATATTTTATAAAACACTCAGATATATAAGGGAGACAGGCCAGCTTTAATTATCACTTTATATCTTTATCCATGATCTTTGTAAGCAACTTAAGAGCAGGGATCATGTCTTTCATCTTTGTATTCCAAGGCCCTAGCACAGCACCTGTTACATAGTAACAGTATGAACATATGTTGAATGAATGCATTCATGCACATACATATGAATATTGATGATTACACAAATAGCACACTTCTGAGTTCACAGATAACAGAATTAAGTGGGATAGACAATACTTGAAAAGAATATTTGATATGCGATATATCGGAGAGGTTCACTAAACAAAGACAAATGGAAATTTAATAGGGATCAGCATGGAGAGTACTTTTTTACAGCAGACATATGTGATTCATTTTTTAATATTTCCTCTAGGTGTATAATCATGACTACATAGTAGACATTTGGCAACTACTTAATGAATGAACTGTTCTACCTCTACAATATATCTCTTGGATCGAACTCCTCCTCTCTATTGACCTGAACTGTAATAGCTTTCTAAAGATCTCCTCTCTCTTCCTCTTCTAAAAGAGCTTTAGTTGCCATATTCATCTCCCTAAAGTACTTTGATGGTGTAACTTTTATTTTCAAATTTCCTACATAGCTCCCTTGTATTGGGACACTTTATTTAAAAACCATAATTAAAGACAAAACAAAAAACCATAGGAAGTACATAGTCCAAAAGCCTGGTACTGGCACACAGCGCAGCACTAAAATAGCTAAAAATTAATGAGCTAGGTTGTCCTGGGAAAATTATTCATATGACTTAAAATATAAAATAACTAATGGACCCCTACACAAAAATCAACTTGTTATTTATTAAAGACTTACATTGGAAAGAAAATATAGGACAATTTTAAAACAATCTCTGCTTAGCTGAGAAACCCAGCTGTTGTTTACTGCTGGGTTTCTTTGAGCCTCGCCCGGCACCAAGCACAGTTTAGGAATCTACTAATGATTTGCAAGGAATTTGTACCCAGATTTTTGGGTTCCTTCTCTGTAGTTCCCTTCTCTCCAGGATTTTACCCTTCCACGTTCCAGCTACTGCTAACACCAGACTCTACCTGTGGTTTCTCAGCCTGCTAGGGTTGTATTCTTTTGCATTCCACTTTGGAAAATGTCTTAAAGGATACAGCCAGATAAATGTGGTCCTCATTTCCCATGCTTCTCTTCTCTGAATGATTGTAATTTCTTAGATCCAGCTTATGCTGACCATTCTCAATGCCTTCAAACAATGTATATATATTTTGTTCAGTCTTTATAAATGTTTTTGGCGGGTGAGTTATTCTAAAATAAGTGGTTACAGCCAGAACTGATGCCTCGTCATGAAAGTTTTTTGTTGAATGCTCATTTTTCTTCCTTTCCTTTCTTTTCTTTTCTAATCTTTTCTTTCGAGAGAGAGTGCACGGGCAAGTGCCAGGGGTGGGAGGAGGAACAGAGGGAAAGAGAAAGAATCCCAAGCGGACTCCACGCCCAGTGTGGAGCCTGATGCTGGGTTCGATCCCACAACCCTGAGATCATGACCTGAGCCAAAATCAAGAGTCGGATGCTCAACCCACTGAGACACCCAGGCGGCCCCCCCATTCTTTTCTATCTTTAACCATTCAATCGTTATTTTACATTGTGTTTCTAATGATGCCAATATTGAAGGTTTCTGAGGGAATAAATTTGTTTATTGTTTCTGCTGGCTCTCATTCGTGGTAGATCGCTTCCTCAAATATTTGGGGATCTTTCACTGTGAGCTCTTGTTTGGTCTATGTAATATGGGGGAATCCTGGAAGTTTAGGGTGAAGATGTTTTCTCTAAAGAGAATTTGTGTTTGTGTCTGCTCAGAGGCAGGGTGTACTATAGACCTGGGACATATCTCCATCTATTCTTTGAGAATGATTTCTAGACTCTTCACAATCTTACTCCTATTGGATCTATACTATCTCTGATTTTTAAAATAATGGTGCTTTTGCATAAAGCCCAAAATCAAACACGATACCCAGTTTTGATCTGGACAGAGTAGAGTACTAATGATTTATTACCACTCTTGTTTTGGAAATTCTACTAGGGCTAGTATAGCCTAAAGATACATTACCGCTTTTGGCAAATATGTAAAAACAATCCACAACACAGAGAAAGGGGGAAATGCGTAATTATCAGAGAGTCAAAAGACCATGAAACGTGTTATTTATGAAATCTGCTATGTAAATTGTGACATGTAAATCATAGTTCTATTTATTCTTTGCTGCTGTAGAAAATCACAATTTAAAAAAATAAAGGAGAAACAAAAAGCAAAAGAAAATAATGCACTGCATCTTGTGGACAGACTTATAACTGACCCCTTCTCTCACCTTTTTGGTCACATTATACCTCTACAGAGATGACATACTGGAGGCTCATCAACTCAAACCCCCAGTTTTTTCACATGACCCACTTGATGTGAAGTTAGGGTCCTCCAACCTACATTTTTTTCAAGTTGGGTTTTAAACCTAAATGAACCACAATGAAAAATCTAAAGTGTATCAAATTCATAATACTGAGGCTATTTCCAATCTGAAATGTTTACTTTTTTATGATAACAAGTTAAATAGAGTTACCCTTCCTGAGTGAATAATTTTAACAGCTGACAAGCCTAGGTGAAAGGTTATAAATACCTGGCAGTAGTTAAAACCGAAATTGAAAATGAGGGAGATTCTTTAAAAATTACTATAATGAAAAGCAAATTCAAGAGCAATAACTTTGGGAATAACCTGACAGACCTAACTGATCACAGCATGTAACTAACATATTCAGTAGTATATCTTAATGTCAGTCTCTTTTTATGTATTCAACTAATGGAAAGAGGTATTTTTCTAACCCCTCAATTAATCAGCTATATCTGGTTCACATTTTTTAATGGGAAATAACTCTAATAGTTTCTGCTGGATCTAACTAATTTTTATTGCTTTTTATTCCAAAAATATATGTCTAAAGTAATAAAAAGGAAAATATCAGGCACTGGAAATATATTTTATACACCATAATTTTATGGAGGGAAAAATCATTTTCAGATAAATAAGTCTTTCAATAAATTTAGAAGTTTCCCATTTTAATTTTTTGATATATTTATCTTAAAAATCTCAGCTCTTAACAATGCCTTTAAAAAACCTGAAATCCTTTTTACTGGCAATATAGTTTCAGATTTTTAAAAAGTTGAAATACATTTAGAAAATAAATTTCTTTTATGCTTCTTAAAGCCCATACTTTAAGAGAGACTGCAAGTTTGGGGGTTATTTTAAAAGATTTTATTTATTTATTTGACAGAGAGAGACACAGCAAGAGAGGGAACACAAGCAGGGGGAGTGGGAGAGGGAGAAGCAGGCTTCCCGCGGAGCAGGGAGCCCGAAGCGGGGCTCAATCCCAGGACCCTGGGATCATGACCTGAGCCGAAGGCAGACGCTTAATGACTGAGCCACCCAGGCGCTGCGAGAGACTGCAAGTTTTTGTTGTAAAAGTAATTAATACTTCTCAGGGGAAAATTTTTAAACAGTAAAAAGTACCAAAATTCATACACACTACCAATATTAAAACACAACCACTATTACTATCTTAGTATTGGGGTGCCTGGGTGCCTCAGTCAGTTAAGCATCTGCCTTTGGCTGGTCCTGGGATCGAGCCTCATGTAGGGCTCTCTGCTCAGTGGGGAGTCCGCTTCTCCCTCTCTCCCTCTGTGCTTTCTCTCGCTCTCTCTCAAATAAATGAATGAAATCTTTAAAATATATATATATCTTAGTGTTTTTCTTTCTGGGCTTTGCTTTTTCCCTATGCATAAACTGATTTGTAATAGAGTTTAATCATATTATACATACAATTTTGATTCTTTTTCCTTGACTTAACCTTAGATCATAAAATGAATTCCACTGCTCAAGGAACTTGGACAAATGAATGGAGCCACTGATGATTATCTATATTTTATTCTCTGCAGTTTAGACTATTTTTAGAGAAAGCACATGAAACTAAAAGTCACATACTTGTGATTTCTTTATCATCTGTCAATTGTACAGTTCCATTAATCAACTTATAAATACCTCACAAAGGTTTACACTTCAAAGTAATTTAACTTCTCACCTTTTGAGCTGCAAGATGGAGGGCTGTTCTCTGGCTGTGGTCAGTTTTATTAACATCTGCTCCTGCCTTCAGAAGAGCGTCTGCACAATCCAGTCTGTCAGCCAACACACAATACATAAGTGGTGTCCTCCCAAATTGATCTTCTTTGTCTTTAAGGGCAGAGTTTCCTATGAGTGTAAGAAACAGATAGTGATATTTGATAATTGCTGTTGTTATTACTAATATAACTAGGAGCTACATTTACTAACTTTATTAGCAAGCTCTGTGTTAAATCATGAAATATATGCCACTTTTACTTACCCTATGAAATAGATATTACCATCCCCATTTATAGGAAACTGAGACTCAGTTAAGTAACCTGTTTATATTACACTGAAAGTAGGTGGAGCTAAAATTCAAACTGATAATTGATTCTAACGGCCACATTCTTTTTTTTTTTTAAAGATTTTATTTATTCATTTGGGACAGAGAGATACAGAGAGAGAGCATGAGCAGGGTGAGAGGCAGAGGCAGAGGGAGAGGGAAAAGCAGACACCCCACTGAGCCAGGAGCCTGACGTGGGACTCAATCCCAGGACCTAGAGATCATGACCTGACCCGAAGGCAGACGTTTAACCATCTGAGCCATCCAGGTGCCCCAAGGCCATATTCTTAACTACTATATGTTATGCTGAATTAATATTGTGAGATATGGACCTACTAATTTTCCTCACTCACTCCTTTCTTTTATAGATTAAACGCTAAGCATTGTGGTATGTTTTTATGAGAGATACAAAACTGAATCATGATTGGCTTCCCATTTTTGACAATATGGAGCAAATGCATACTACCCTGATTCTCCTGCTAATTACAACTAAAAACCCCAGGCAAAATACATAAAAGGTGGAGAAAAGAAGGCAAACTGTCTAGGGACTATGGGACTCAGAACAACCTGATGGTGAGTTCCCTGTCAGTCTGTCTTTCTTTTCTTATTTTTTTTTTTCCTCCTAAATACAGTCTGGGGGTTAAAGTAGCCCAAAACCAGAAACACCAAAGAGCAGATACAAAATTCCCCAGGAAGCCTGCTCTCTCCAGTCAAAAGACTGGGAAGAGGGTAGCCCTTGGAGCGCTTATACTTGGCTCTACTCAAAGCACATACAATGAAAGAAACTGCACCTCTTTACCTCCCCACTGGGCACAGCAGAGACTGTGGGGAGGAGCCCTATAAACCATCATGTCCTGAATTAAGCAAAGGATAGCAATGAAGTAGTATCTTACCCCTTCCTGACTAGAGAAGCAGGGAGGATTATGGAGAGGAGGCTGGAGAAAGCAATTCTTTAAATTGGTGCATGAAGTCATAAACAACTCTGAAAAACCCTTGTGGAAACTAACCAGAATCAAAGTAGCAAAAGTTTCGAGAATTGAACTATGGGTGGAATATTGCCCAGGTTCTAAATTAGCTTGGGTAGCACGTAAGTAGGGCAGACCAGAAGAGCTGTGAAAAATAACTTCACATTAGAACCACAGTCCACAAAACTGGAACAGAAAGTTCATTCTAAGCCTAAACAGATTGGCAGTCTATTAAATAGAAGATTTAAATAGGATCCAGAGTCTCATAACGTAATACACATAATGTCCAAGATACAATCCAAAATTATTAGACAAACCAAGAACCAGAAAAACATTAACTTAAACCAGAAAAAATGATCAACAGACACCAATACTGTGATGATAAAGATGTAAGAATTATCTGACAAGGATTTTATTTTATTTATTTTAAAAGATTTTATTTATTTGAGAGAGAGCACAAGTAGTGGTAGGGGGGAGCAGAGGGAGAGGGAGAAGCAGACTCCCCACTGAGCAGGGAGCCCAATGCGGGGCTCGATCCCAGTACTTCAAGATCATGACCCGAGCCGAAGGCAGATGCTCAACTAACTGAGCCACCCAGGTGCCCCCATCTGACAAGAATTTTAAAGCAACTATAATAAAAGCGCTCCAAAAAGCAATTATGAACATTCTTGAAACAAACGGAAAATACAAAGTCATAGCAAAGAAAGATAGAATATAAAGATGAACCAAATGAAAATTTCAGAATAATAAGCATTTAATAAATAAGCAAGCAAATAACATAACTAAAATAAAAGCCTCACTGAATGGAGGTGACAGAGGAAAGAATCATTGAACTTGATGATAGACCAATAAATATTATTCAATCTGAACAGCTGATAGAAAACACAGAAACAAAAAGAATCCACAGAATCTCAGGGCTCTCTGGGACAATAACAAAGTACCTACCATTCATGTCATCAGGTTCCAGAAAAAGAAGAAAAAGAATGAAGGGCTAAAAACATATGTGAAGGAATAATGGCTGGAAATAGTGCAAATATGGTGAAAGACACAGACCTACAGATTTAAAAAGCTGAGCAAAACTCAAAACAGAATAAACCTCTAGAAACCTATGGTACGTCAATCATAATCAAATTCCTGAAAACTAAAGAAGAAGAAAAAAATCATGACAGCAGCCAGAAAGAAAAAACACATTATCTATAGATGAAAAACAATTCAAATAACAGTGTATTTCTCATGAGAAACTATGGAGTCCAGAAGGCAATGACACAACATTTTTCAAGTGTTGGGGGGTAAGGGTGGGGATGAACTGTCAACCAAGAATTCTATATCCAGTGCTTGCCTAGGACTGGGGAGAAGGGGAGGTGTTAAAGGGGTCATAGCTAAAGGGGATAGGATTTCTTCTGGGGAGGGGTAATTGTTCTAAAATTAATTGTGGGGGCACCTGGGTGGCTCAGTCATTAAGCTTCTGCCTTCAGCTCAGGTCATGATCCCCGGGTCCTGGGATCAAGCCCCGCACCGGGCTCCCTGCTCCGCGGGAAGCCTGCTTCTCCCTCTCCCACTCCCCCTGCTTGTGTTCCCTTCTCGCTGTGTCTCTCTCTATCAAATAAATAAATAAATATCTTAAAAAAATAAAAATAAAAAAATAAAATTAATTGTGGTGATGTTTCTACAACTCTGTGAATATACGAAACCCACTGAATTGTACTTTAAATTGGTGAATTGTATGGTATGGATATATGGAATCTCAATAGAGCTGTTACAAATAGCCCCACTACATATAATTTAAAATGGAATACTAAAAACATTCAAGAAATTCAGAGAAGACAGGAAAGAGAAAAAAACAGGAATGAAAAACAGAGGGAACAGTAAACACATAGTAAGCTGGAAATCTTAAATCTTAACATTAATAATTACATTAAAGGTAAATGATAAAAAACACACCAATAAAAAAAGAGATGGATAAAAAAAAGATCCAACTATATGCTATTTATAAGAAACTCACTTGAAATATAACAAGTAGGTTAAAAGTAAAAGAATGAGCACAGATATACTATGTAAACACGAATTAAAAGAAAGCTGATTAACATCAGATATTAATATCTTATAAAATAGACTTCAGAGCAAAGACAACTACCAGGACAAACAGAAACATTACATAATGATAAAGGGATCAATTCACCAAGAATACATAACAATCCTAAATGTGTATGTACTAAATCATGGAGCTTCAAAACACATGTAGCAAAAACTGACAGAATTGTATGAAACATTTGAAAAATTTACAATTATAATTGGTAACCTCAATACTCCTCTCAGTAAGTGCTTGAACTGCTAAAATGAAAAGCAGCAAGGATAGAAAAGAACGGAATACCACTATAAAGCAGCAGGATATAACTGATATTTATTGATCATGTCACTCAATAACAGCCAGATATGTAATCTTTTAAAACACTGATGGAACCATTCACCAAAAGAGACCATATACTGGTCATAAAACAAGCATTAACAGATTTAAAAAAGTGAAGTTATACAAAGTATATTCTCTGACAATAATGTAATTAAACTAGAAATCAATAACAGGAAGATAATGGGAAATCACTGAATATGTAGGAATTAAACACCACATAGATAATCCACGAGTTACAGAGAAAACCTCAAGGGAAATTAAAAAACATAATTAAATGAATGAAAATAATAGTAGTGTTGTAAGGTTCCTACTCTACACATGAGGGGGCTTGGAAGGAAATATACAGCATGAGTACTTGCATTACAGTAGAACAACAGCTTCAAATCAATGATCTATCCTTCTACCTGAGGACACTAAAATAAGACCAAATTTAATCCAAAACAAGCAGAGGAAGTACATAACAAAGATAAGAGCAGAGATCAATGAAATTAAAATTAGAAAACACTAGAGAAAAATCAATGAAGCTAAAAGTTGGTTCTTAGAAAATATCAATGAAATTGATAAATCTCTGATCAGAGTGATCATTAAAAACAGAGCAGACAGAAATTTCCAATATCAGAAATGAAAGCAGGGACAACACTATGGAGCCTTAAGTCATTAAATGGAAAATACGGGAATATTATAAACAATTTTATGCCCATAAATTCAAACTTAAGTTAAATAGCCGAGAGAGAGAGAGAGAGAGACATAGATGAATAGGATAGAATTGAGAGTACTGAAATAGACCTATAAAAGGATATGATCAATTGATTTTTGACAAAGGTGCAAAGGCAAATCAATGGATAGTCTTAAACAGATGGTACTGCAAAAACTGGAATTCATATCCAAAACCAAAAAGTGAACAAACAAGAAACTCTCAACCTATACTTTTCATCACATATAAAAATTATCTCAAAATTAATCATAATCTTAAATGTAACACCTCTATAACTATATAAACCTTTTAGAAGCAAAGAAAAGTGACAATCTCTGTGACCTTGGGTTAGACCAAGATTTCTTAGACATGATACCAAAGAACAATCCATTTTAAAAATTGATAAATTGGATTGCACCCACATTAAAAATTCTGTTTGAAAGAACTGTTAAGAAAATAAAAAGACAAGCCACAAATTGGGGGAAAGTATTTGCAAAACACGTATCTGATAAGATCTTTTACCAAGAATAAATCAACAAAACTAAAAGGCAACCCCCAAATGGGAGAAGATATTTGTAAATGACATATCTTATAAAGGGTTAGTATCCAAAATATATAAAGAACTTATAAAACTCAACAGCCCCCCAAAAAGAATTCTTACAAGTAATAAAAAGACAGATAATGAAATTAAAAGATGGGCAAAAGTTTTGAATAAACATTTCACCAAATAAGCATATG